AGAGTTTAAACCCAGCCAGGTGGTGGTGGAGCATGCTTGCAGAGGCAGGCAGATCTCTGTGAGTTCGAGGCCAGCCTGGTCTACAGAGCTAGTTCCAGTACAGCTAGGGCTGTGACACAGAGAAAAACCCTTGCCTACTTCCAGTTTGCTCCCCCAGTTTCCTGCTTCTACTGCCATGCCCCCCTGACATGAATTCTCACTTCTCGGGAACCACGAGCCTGAATAAGCTTTTCCCCAAACTGCTCTGGTCATGGATTTACCACAGTAGCAGAGAGGTAACTGATACGGAGTCCCAGCTATGTAAGCACCACAGTCAAGTTAAACTGCTCTTAACCTGAGTTCGCTAAAACAATGATATTTTAAATGTATCATTTTCTTTTGCACCTCAAAGTCCACAAAGCTGTCACTGTGAAAACAAGTGGCCATCCTGGCCACTGTGAAACTCAAGAGCCCCCCACCCACCATCACTCACGTGGCACTAGAGGCCAGCGACCTGCAGACGCCTCTTCATTTCCTTAATTTCCTGATTTCTAAACAGCTCCCGCTCCAGGCCTGGAGTCCTGACCACCTAACTCCATAATGGCCTTAGCTTATTTTATCCTTTTGAATCTGTTTTACGTTTCTCTTTATTTCCATGTACAAAGGAAAAGGCCAGTTTCTCCAACAGGTCAGGCAGGAGCGCCTACTCTGTCCACGGAACTATGCACAGAGAATGGCGACTCTCCAGCTCTCCCAGTTTTACAGTGATAAAGAGATACGCTTTGGGCCTATATGTGGCAATGCTATGCCTCTGATCTGTGTAGAGAGCACCTCTTGGCCAGGCCGCCCAGCACCGCATACTTCAGATAAAACCACCGGACTCGTCCTCAGTTTCTGGTCCTCATCGCAGGGAACACAGACTGCCGACAGGGAGTGACCCTGAGGTGAGCACAAACAAGCTGGCCCACAGACCCTGCACCACACTCAAGCTCTGCCCCCTCCCCCCAACTCCACAGCAAGGAAACCAGCCAGGCTCAGTTACCACCAACTGAGTCCATTAGCATAGGAGAAAACTGCAGGAAGCTGGCTTCATTAGGATGGAGCCAAGTTTCCAGTCCTCAGAGCCGCCTGCCTGGTCCAGGGTCCCAGGTGAAGGGATTATTTTCACACCATTTCCTTGACGTTAAAACACACTGAAGAGCGGGATAGAAAGGCTAAAGAACAAGGGAACCACCATGGTTTCCTCACAGGAATGTCTTCCACGCAGAGACACGCAAGAAAAAGTATTCAGAGGTCAAGGAAGTAGTGATGTCACAGCAGAATAAACCCTCAAAGAGCATCCCAATGATCTCAACGAATGCCACCCAGACTCAAGTCCCACCAAGCCCTGGGTGGACACTGAGGGTTCTCCTCTTTGGCCAACACCCAGGAATCCAGAATGGATACAGCAGCCTCCCAGATGTTGGCTGAGCTGGGAGCAGTGGGAAAACACAGGGATTTCATGAATCTAAGCCTCTCTCAGCCCCGAGGCCAGGGACATGAGCTCTCATGTTATAGCCACTGAACATAACACAGAGAGCACATCCCAGCAAGCCAGAGCCAAGGGTGTCCCCAGAGGACGTGGTCAGGAGTCAGGGAACTTCCTGTGAACTTGGCGCACGACCAACAATGCCTTCTCCTGCAGTCTTCAGGTCGGGATGACTGTGCTTCCTGCGGGAAGGCGGCTGATTCTACAAGGGCAGCTGCAGGGAGCTGCTTTCTCCTAGTGCCTCATTTGGATGTGGTGCTGGTCAATGACAAGCTGTGACAAATGGGACGGGCATGCTGAACGACAGAGTCCATCTCCAGAGTCCAAGAGATGTCAGCATTTGGGAGTTTTGTCCATGTGGACGAGCCAAGTGTGCATCCACTCTACCAGAGAGTTCTATCCCACAGGGGCCTGGCACACTTGGACATTATCCCGTGCGCCAACAGGAAAGCTGATATCCCACAAGGCTGACTACAGGGATGGGGTCTTTATTAAAGTGGCGGGTCTAGAATAGATCACAAGTCCAAACACAGAAGAGGCCATCAGAAAATGAAGACTGGGCACCGGGCAGATGGACAGGCCCAAGAGGCCAGACGGTGACTGCCCTGGGACCTCTGCAAGGCACGTGGAGAAGCTGTCCCAAACTCCCAGCCTCAGTCATTCCTGCACTGGGGCTTCCTCCACACCACCAGTTTGTAACAACTCCCTGGCACTGGAGTGGCCTGGAATGCCGAGTGAATGTTAAGTGTCCAGGCTCAGTTCCTATGACCTCAGCAGTGGAGACTTCAGGGGACAGAAAAGGCTGTGAAGGGAACAGGGGGTGAAGTGAGAAGCCCAGTATCTACAGGACCCCGCGCTGGTTCTTTAAGGCCACTTCCCCAAAAAGGCCAGGGCGAAGAGGTACAGAGGAAGGAAGAGCTGATAGGAGTGCTTCATTCAGGATACTATGAGAAAATCAGGCAGCTTTCCAAGTCACACTTCCTAAGGAGGCTCAAGGCACTGAGCACGGAGAGGCACAGGGTACCACTGATGTCTTCCACCTTGAACTGACAGGTGCCAGAAAGCAAAGCCAGTACCAATCTGCACCATAAGGTGGCCTGAGAATACTCGAAAGCCCCAAACAATCTGGCATTCTCCTTGGCCAAAACATAACCTCTGTATCATTAGGAACGAGAGAACCCGATTCAGTCTTTGGAGAAGATGAGAGAGACAGCATCAGCACACACTGTGACAACGGGACGGTCTCGACTTTGGAGGTGGGCTTCTGTAAGTTCACATCTATTACGTCCAGTGTCTTCGAGACCATTGTTTTCTTTTTGTCTTTTGCTTCATCTGTCAGCACTAGGGATCTAACTCTATGTCTCACAAGCTCTGTCAGCACTAGGGATCTAACTCTAGGCCTCACTGAGCTACACCTTTGCCTCCGATGCAGAAAAGTACAGAGAGTGTCAGCAAGCACATGAGAGCAGGGAGTGGTCAGAGAAGCTGAAAGCGAGCCGTGCTTTTGTGTGCTACTATCCCACTGGGCCACCCCCTCCCCCGCTCCAGCCTGGACCCAGACATAGAAGGGGACTGACTTAGCATGTTCTGTCATGTGCTGGCCTGAGAGAATCAGCCGTACCTTGTTACAAAATCTTACAGGAAACTTCAGACATCCATGAAAGTGCAAGGTTTGAATTTCTGCAAATATACCTTCTCGGGGAATCTTCCAAACACTGTCTCTGCTGTTTCTCTGGACCTTACACATCCTCTGCTACACGGAAACTGTTTTAAATTCTTAAAAGTTTATTTCTCTAATGGGGGGTGGGCATGGGGAAGTCAGAGGACAACTTGCAAGAGTCAATTCTCTCTTCCTACCATGTGGGTCCTGAGAATTGAACTCGGGTTATAAAGTTTGGCTGCAAAGGTCCTTAACCACTGAACTCGGAACCCACATACATTTCTGGTAGAAGCCAAGAAGAGTGGAGGTCTCCAGTTCTATTCGACAGCACTCCTTTTAAAACACTGTTGCAAAAAGCAATTAAGATTTGGGAACACATAGTCTGAGTATCTGACTTTGCCCAGATGTGAAAAATGGCTTCAGGGTCCAAGTTTTGGCCATTGACTCACTACAGAAATCCTCCGCACTTGGAGACGGTCCATCCTGGCCAGCTTTAAAAGTTTATTGCTTTAGGGCTCGAATGTTGGTCCTCTCAGATGCAGCCTTGGCTGACCATCCACCCCCTCTGGAATGGAAGCCTTATTTAGCTCTCCGGAGAATTCTGCTAGGCATTCCCACCCTAGCCTGGCCCTGCTGCCGCGGGCACAATCTCTACCAGAGGAAGTAGGACACCCATGCACTTTCAGAAGTGAGAATGCTGCCCGCCCACTCCGTAAATCGGTCCCTCAGATTTTTATAACTTTCACAGGCTCCTTGGAGATGCCAAAGTCCTCCAGCCCAGCCACAAAAAGTGAAAACTCTTTTTGGAAAGCAGAAGTGCAGCTGCAGGGCCCTGAATTACAGTTGGCCCCTAAAACGCATGCCTGCCTCCGCAAAACCAAACCTCAGAGCACACTGAGGCCTGCAGCCAACTCGGGCCCCTCTCCCTCAGGACTGGGATTCCTTCCGATCTGGGTCTTGCAGAGAGACAAAAGTGCACGATTCCAGGTGAAAGTCAAGTATCCAGGAAGTGGGGGACCTTAGCTCTGCGAAACAGACCAGCTGGGAATAGAAACAGCAAGAGGGGCCCCTCGGGCGGCCAAGAACATCGTCACCCGCACAGTGATGGGTCCCCCATGGCACCCTGGATATCAGGCTCCCTTCAGGCATAGAAAAAAATCTACAAAGTGCTGCACCCGACAGAGTCCCCAGGACACCCAGCTAACTTGAAGGCTCTAGCGCAGAAGCTGACGGGAGTATACACTTGGCGCTAGTGACACGGGACAGAATCTGCGGGAGAGGTTTCCTTGGCACAGGGTGGTGTGGGGTGGGCCTCACTCCAGAAGGCGGGGGAAGGGGGGCAGGTAGACTGAGGGGGGAAGAGGTCCGAAGAGAAGCGACTCACCCTTAAGGCCTGAGATTCAGGAGGGAGGAGGAGGCAGAGAAAGAGGGAGAGGGGGAGAGCAGAGAGGGGAAGAGGTGGAAGAAGGGGTGGTGAGGAGGGGGAGCGGGTTGAGTGGAAGTTGAGAAAACACCATAGGGGAGGCCAGTCGGGGAGGGCGCACGAGACGCACGGGGCTTTCCCTGGCGACTCCCTACCACTTCCCGGGCCAGCGGGAGATTGAGTTTGAACAAAGGCGGCTCCCAAGGCCGCGCGCGCTGCGCTCAGGTCCGCCCCTGGCGTCCCAGCCAGGACGGACAAAGGCCCAGAACGCCCTGCAGCCCTGCACCGGACGCCGGGATTCCCCGCTCCGCCAAACCCAAACCCCCGTCCCCCTGGCTACTCACGCCCCTCCCCCCAATCACTGTGAATCACACGTCTCGCGGACCCCAGCGACCCCGGGCCGCACTCACAGGATGGAGGTCTGCGGCGCCACGGCGGGCACGGCCTCCAGCAACAGATGCATGCAGCGCACGGTGGTACGGAAGCACAGGCAGCGGCTTGGACAGCCTGCCCCCGGCTTCGAGGAGACCACCGCCATAGCCCCCCAGGCGAAGCATAGCACGAGCGCCTGAAGGCAGCGGCGGCGCATGGGGCGCACGGCCATGGTAGACGGCGCGGACAGAACAGGCGCTGATACGCTGGGACCGCAGCGGAGGCCTCGGCGGGCACATCCACCGCCGGTTCCCAACTGAGCCCTCAGGTCTCAGGCCCACGTCCCAGCTGTGCGCGGGGGGCGGGGGGGCGCCAGCTGTGCACATGCGCGTGGCTCCTCCCCTCTCGGCCTCGCAGAAGGCGGGGGCTAGGCAAGCACCAGCGCCCTGGTGTAGGATCCCGGCGACCCTTCCCGGGGGTGCAGCCTGGCCTCGTTGGACAGCATGATCAGTGAACAAGAATTCCACTGTGGGGACGCCTGGAAGTGCAGAGGCGAGGGTTGAGACCGGGTTTGGATCTCTGATTCTGCTTTTAAAACGGCAGTGTTGCAACCCCCCTTAGCCATACTTTCTGCCTGTATGCAAGGGTTTTGTTGCCGGGAATGCCTTGTTTTGTGTTGGGTGTTCTAGAAAGTGAGCTTTCATACCCTGCCTCTTTTTCCTCAGTGCCCCCACACAAAAGCATTCACCTCTGATTTAAGTTCTCCTCCGTCCTATTGGAGAAACTGAGGGCCAGCCCTGTGGTGTGTAGTTTATAGGAAGGCTTTGCTGCAGAATTAGAAGTTCCCTGAGGCCTCCAACACTCCTACCTGTGAAGAGCCCCTGTTCACCAGGTGCTTTCCCTTGTAGCAAAGATGGAGAACACCTGTGGCCATCTCAGGTTGATTTTACAGGGACAACAGGAAACAAGGGAAGCCCTGAGGTTAGCATGCGAGTGTGCTATGAAAGTTCAAATGTGGACACTTTATCCACTTCCCTAGTTCCCCCTAGGGTGCCAGTCTCTCCATTCTTCAGACCAGGAGGGCCAGGTTAGGCAATGCAACCAAAGGAACAGAATTCAGTTATCAGAGTTGAAAGCGGAGTTCAGGTGTAGCAGCTGATCTTGATTCTCACCGTGACTGAACTGAGTACTCAGGAGACTGTAAAACCCTGGTTGTGTCTTAAGAGAAATTGACAAAAAGCTACCTGAAAAAAGAAGACTCATTAGAAACCAGAGTGACACCCTTCGGCTGGCTGTGTAATAGTCCAGATGGGAAGACAGAGGTCCATCTACCCAGGTGCACTCTGTGATTTCTGTCTACTTGAAAGGAACTGCCTAGCTCTGCCAGGCCCTCTGGACAGACGGAAATCTCAGAAACTGAGATAACATAGACCTTTCTCTCTGAAGTTATTTGACCTCGGTGTTTAGTTACTTTGATGGAAAACCAACACACCAGATAGGCCTTGACCTTCAAACTAATGTGCTCCTACTGATATCAGGCAGGGAAGAGTGTTGCTAGGGCATCCAGTATCAGGGTACTGCCGAGGGTCGGGGTCACAAGGCTTCAGCTGCACTGCTGACGGGTTGTGTCAGGGAGGAACTGAAGGCCGTTAGAGGAGGTGCCAGTTCCTATGGGATGTCTCCATGACTGGCACACTTCCAGCAATCTGCAGCTTGTACTCCATAGGGAGAACAGGATTGCGGCCTTCCCGCTAAGCTTGGAGCATACCATCGCTCTTCAGGACTCCTGCCACACTTCCCCGAGTACCCCCCCCCCACCAGTGAGATTGATCACCACACAGCCTCCAGTGAGGCCGCCCACCCCAGAAGAGCTCCACCCTGCCCTGAGTTCCTGCAGAACCAGAGCTAGGTTTCTCTGAGGACAGAATTCCCAGGTATGTATTGTAGCAGAGATAAGCAGAGGTAAAGACGGGGCAGGCTAGCCTGTGTACTGTGATGGAGACCAGACATCTCTTGCAGTTAGTGCCAGTCACGAGCCTGGTGGACCCCAGCACTGACAGCCTTGCCTTCAACAGCAGCCGAAATTCAGGGTCCCTAGGCCACTCATGTCTCACCTAGTTACAAACTTTGTCAAGTGTATGATACCAAAACCCAAAACTATTTTTTTCCCCAAAATTGCATTTTCCCACTTAACACTTATCTTCTCCCCCCTCCACACACACACTGATTTTCTATAGGCAACAACCTGGAAACTGTCATCACTGCGGGCAGTCTCATGGCATAGTTAAGTTCTTACCAGGCACAGAGGTCCATTTTCTCCCCAGTATCCCTCAAACGTAGTGGACCCACCCCTCACATCCCAAACACTCCCAACCTGTAGCGCCCACAGCAGGAGCCGTATTTCCAGGTGACACGGAGCACTTGCTCTTTCTTTTCAGCACAGGCGCTGCTGTGTCTTAAGCCATCTGAGATGTGTGGTCTTAGGTGCCCATCTGACCGGATAAGAGCATCCAATGACTGCTTGAGAACAGATCATTCCCCTGGAGGTTCTCTGTAGGTGTGGTTAAAATTGATCCGTGGACTTTGACAAGGGTGATCTCACTAAGTGTTTGATCTTACTAAATCAACAGAAATCTTGGGAATAAAAACTGAGCTTTCCAAGAGAAGAAATTCTGTTGCGAGGGCCTGGGGAAAGAGTTTGGCCCTCAAACATCCATGTATAAAAGCATGGATATATATATATATAATGACAGAGTGTGTGGACTTTGGTTGGAATGGAAGGAGACAGGTGGCCCTTTGGAACTTGCAGGCCAGCTAGTCCAGCCTGTTTCAAAAAATTAAGATGGAGAGTGATTGAGAAAGACCAGACATCAACCTCCAGTCTTCATAAGCTTACACGGGCATAAGAAACACACTCAAACATATAGTGTACTCAGAGACACAAGAAAAGGAAAAAGGGAATTCTGCTGAGCAATCACTGCCTCTGGTTTTGGTTTCTTCTTTTTCTATAGGGGCCACACTAGCCATCGTTTAAAAACAGCCCTGCTCATCCATCCATCCATCCATCCACCCATCCATCCATCCACCCATCCACCCATCCACCCACCCACCCATCCACCTATCCATCCACCCATCCACCCACCCATCCATCCATCCACCCACCCACCCACCCACCCATCCATCCATCCATACAACCACCCACCCATCCATCCATCCATCCATCCATCCATCCATCCATCCATCCTTCAACCCACTCACCCATTTTCCCTTCCATTCATCCCTGACCCATCCATACCATTCATCCTCCTATCCACTTACCCAAACATTTATCTGTCTGTCCGCGGACCCACCCACCCAGCCACCCCCCCGCCCTGCCATCCATCCATTCCCCTGTTGCTTCTGGGTCTCAGACGATGCCTGATAGGCATAGCAGCCATCTGTACAGCTCTAAACAATGAAGCACAATGGGGACGAGGAGCCAGGACCATGACTAAGGACCTAAAGAATGTGTGTTTTCCCCCATGAATTTCTTACCCTGAGCCAAAAGTCCTTCCCATGCTGTTTGTTCATCAGCTCCTTCCTGCGCCCTCTAGAGGCTCTCGGGAGACTCACAGCTCCATGTTGACTGGAGAATTCCTATTTCCCTCTAATAAGCCAGCACTTTCCAAATCCTTCCATCTGTTTATTGTTCCACAGCAAACACATCTTTCAGGTGCTAACTGTGCTCATGCAAGAGAAGTGCTCGGTGATAGCATCTTCTAATATTTCCACCCAGTGATGGGACCGACTGAGATCATGTGAACAGTGGCTGGCCCATTGTCTGCTCCCCTCCCAGCTATTCCTGACTCCTGACATCCATTTATCTTGTGATTCTCTCCACCCCACCCCCAACCCATATACACATAGGTGTTTCCGTTTTGGAGCCTCATGACAACCTCTGGGACAAATGTTGTCATCAGAGAGCTTCGGTCAAAGCCTGGGCCCTGGCAGCCCCAACAGGATAGGCTCAGCCATGGGTCCTCAATATGCCAATTAAATAGATGAGAATTTATTAAATACGACCACACTGGGAAAAAAATAAGTAGGCCCAATTACCTCCCATCCCTCCATACACATAAGTCCATTTTCAGGGTCCTGATGAGCGGTTTAGGCTTTAAATAGAGAGAGCAAGAGGTAATGTATAACTAAGTGGTCCTAGTCAAGGTGTGGTCCCACCCACTGCTGGTCCATCATTGTCTCAGCTCTGGTTTCTCTTGTAAACTGACAAGTTGTCAGAACTGTGTGAGATCTCCCCCACCCCTCCACTCCTTTCCCCCCCACCCCACACCCAGGCAGGCATTAGGGCTTCTGCCTTTTTTTCCTCCCTCAGCATGAGATTCTTGGGAAATTCCAAATCCTAGGGGTCATTGTTTCAATCATCTCTGAGCCAAAGGGCGGGGCACACAACCCCCTCTGGATTCCTGTGCTCCACATTTGTTCCCTTCTGTGACTGAGAGAACCAACGCTTAGAGCAGCCCTACTTCCTCTTGAGGTGCAGACCACACCTTCAATTTCCAGCCTCAGTATGGGCATCAGGATCCTTTCTTCTGCCCCACCAAGCTGAGCCTGGGCTCGCAGGGAGGCAGTCTTCCTCTTCCTTTCTCTCAGCTTGGGTTTCTCAATCTGTACAGCAAGGTCAGCTGCTACCCACAGTCAGTGAGGATTGGGTGGGCACATGTGAGGTGCCCATCTGGTTCCTCCTGGGTCAGTGTGGGCTGTGCAAGTGAGGTAATGAGCCGTGAACACATTCTTCCTGAGAGCTTTCCAGTATAGGCTGGATGACCTTGGTGTGGGAATACTTGAGAACCCTCAGCAAGTCAGCCCCACCCCACCTGCTTCCCTGACCCTTCCGCCTGACTCCCAGGCAAAGTTAATCACTATACACACATACAGCCTACTGGGAAAGCTGGGGTCACCTCAGGTCCCACAGCTAAGAGCCTGGGAGCTTACTTCTCAGCCTCCAAGGAAGCACAGACAAAATAAGTCAAGGATCAGTAATGTTCCTTTCCCTAGTCCTGAGCCAGAAGGCAGGCTTCTCTCCCAGTCCTGACATCCTGTGTCTAAACATGGACACACATTCTCCTTGGTAAGGACAGTGAGGTGTTCAGGCTGCACTCCAGGCCCAGCAGGAAGTGATTACAACATGGACTCTAGACAAGGAAAGTTCCACAGTGCCCCCATTGTCCACGGAGGCAGGGAGTACTCAGGTCCTCCACTCCCTAACCTGATCCCAGCCGTCGACTTACCTATGGTGGAGCCCAGCTGGGGCATACCCATCCAAAGGATATTCTGCTACTGTCCAATCCTGGCTC